TATAACCGCAATTTAGGAGTGACAACTAATGTGGTTGAAGAGAACTATCATGTGACCGAAACCCGGTCCCATTTCGTTTATTAACACCACGCTGCGTAATTCACGACAAGTAGAAGCAATATGGAATTTGCTGCTCTAGTCAAAACAGCAGGCAACTACAATATACTCCTCTGAATGTTCTGCACCGTGCAAATGCTGCTTTAAATACTCTAATCATACTTTGAAATACCACAAGAAGTTTTAAGTTTAGACATACCCATGTCCGTTGAACCGCAACAAATGGATTTGCCCGTCAGTGGATTCGGCCGGCAGGTAAAACCTGTTCGACAGGGCGCCATCGACGACTGGCAGGCAGCGATTTCGTGCGTCTGCGGATCGACAGTGGTTCCCTCTCCTGGGTGACAAGCTGAAAATGGCAAGGACGTGGCATTCGAATACCGAATATACAGTGACTAAGTCGCCCACCTGCGGCCTGACAAAAGTTGTTGCATTCCTGAGAGGTCAGGAAATTGTTTGCGTTGCCATCGCAGCCGGCGTAAAGGAAACTCGTGCACTGTCTGGTCGTTGCATCGAAGTAGTACCTGGTCACCAAAAGTTGGTTTCCAGTACAACTTTTGCCTTTTTCAGGGCCCATGGAGCAGATGAACGCTAAACCGCCGCACGAAACGTAGTATTGGTTGATAAATCCACTACGGTCTGGTTTTTCAAAGTACCTCGACTTGGGCAGCAAAACCGTGAAAGTGAGCCCTGCTTCGGAGACGTGCCCGTGCATTCATAGCCGTTGGCGCACTCGCTGCCGGACATGCATGGCTGCTTCTGCATCGGTAAACTGATGGACAGCGACTGGCTGAATGGACACCCAAGAGAACCGCAGTATGACTCACATCGCTCTCGTGAATCGAACCGATTGCTGTTTCCGCCGCAGCCGTTGTATATGAATGGCATACACATTTGCGTGGCCGGGTTGAACCACCACCTTTGTACCTGCGCAATGCAAAAGACACCGGCGTCGAAGTGCGAGTTGCACGTGTACTCTAAATCACAACAGTCACTTTTCAATGCCCATCAACAAAGAACAAAATATTTCACACGAATGTGGCACCTGAACCTAAGATATTTCACAAGATCATGGAAAAACAAAAATTAACTACTCTCACTTGGTATCATCTGCTACTACAAATACAGAGAAAACCAATTCTTTCTAGCCGCTACCATGACACTAAAGCATGCAATAAGCTTGCAAATGGCGGGTAAATTATGCTATCATAACCGGTTGCTGAAGGACTTTCTCCTGCGCATATTATTGGAGATTCCTTATGAACCACTTCTACCGCACTACTAAACTAGTTACCCTGGTGTTTTAGTAGCGCGTCGATTACTAACCTTCCAATTGCCTATCTGAGACCATTTTCATTTGATACAATTTCGGTCACACACGGTCCACCGTAATACGCCAAGAAAATTTAATTCAAATAATACCTGCTGTTTATCGAATTGACTATCTCATGTTTGGAAATGTGCATCAATCCATCTACCTCCGTTAGTGAAACTTGAGTCCTGCTTTCAGAAAGATACACTATGAAAAACTTTCAAACTGCTATAGAGTCTTAATGGTCTTGTTTTTTACATTGACAAGTCAGCGCGGAGATGGTTGGGGCACGTAATGGGAATGCCTCCAGCAACGCTGCAAAACAGTTACTAATTGTTCAACCCCCAGTAACAGCCAAGAATGATCTGGAGCAAGTGGCAAGTCTCGATGGACTGGGCCTCAATCTCAGGTTATCTTCTACAGAAGCTTGGATCATGGCACAGAATCAGGAACGTAGAGGGCACTGTCTGAAGCTGATGCCTTCGCGACCCGGAAATATATGCAGCCACCGAATTTAAATAGTTGAATGCCTGCGACCGACTGACTTTTAGAGAGCGGCTTGGCCTTTCACATTTTTCTGATGATGTCGTGTGGACCTGTGTTGACTGCGAAAAATACACTCAGGCCAAGAAGTGCTGAAAGAACTCGACAATTAACTTGATTCGACAGATTGTGCGCGGTTGTCATCATCGTTTCACCTGTTCAAGACTGACAATCGGATAATCAAAAAAT